GACTGAGCTTTTGGTCCAGTGATCATACAAAAAGGTCTCCAAAAGAGGTATTTCAGGAGACTTGTTTACATTGAGGAATACCTCTCACTGACCTCCTGCTTAAGATTCTCGGGTTCCAAAAGCTCATGTTCTTGCATCCTTGCTGTTTGGGATCCAGGTGGACCATCTTGAGCAGGTGGCGGGAGAGTAGCTGCCCGGAGCCCACCCCCAGTGCTAGGTTCCTAGGGAAGGAGGTACAGACACCCCAGTCAAGTACGTTCCTCATTACGTAAACAAGATGTGGTGTAGTAATACAGTACTGTGCAGCTGTGAAAACTAAGGTCATTCTAAGTGTGCCGATAGTACTCAAACCCTGAAGTGTGTTGTAACAATAGTATGTGGTTTGCTTCTATTTGTATACCATTTTAAAAGGCGTGGTATGTGTATTTACGTAGACTATCTAAAAGCATGTCAAAGTAACTTAATAGCACTTGCCTTTAAGAAAGGGAATTAGGGCTCAAGGTTAGGAGAAAATATGCTTTCTATGTATATCTGTTTGTGCTGTTTGAATGACCATGGCTATTTATTTAAAGGGAGGGTTTTTTATTATGAAAATAAAATTACTTATGTGTAATCATAAAGTAAGATGGTATCAATATAATGAGCTCTTTATATAAACTGGTTATAAGCATGAACTTTGGTGTAGGCATGCTTACTGGCCATGTGACCTTGGAAGGGTTATTTAAACACTAAACCTTAGTTTTCTCCTATGAAATCAAGAGATAATAAAAACTACTCTGTGAGGTTGTATGAAAATGAGATAACAATTATTTGGAAAGCAATTAACGTGGTGCATAATATACAGTAAGCACTCACATGTTCATTGTGTGATAGTTAACACTAAAGGGCCATACCTTCGCGGGCTCCTGGTTGCTAGGGGTAGTACTCTAACTCAGTTGTCTCCTAACACAAAAGGGCGTTCGCTGGCCCACTCAAGTGAAAGTCTAGGGTAGGACCGCCTTTGGGCGTGGCTGTATCTTCCACCTCCCTTGAAGGGATTGGGACTCGCCTTTCTCCGGTGCTTAGCTCTGTTTTCTCCTACGTTGGCTCAGTTCCCAGGCAACTCCAGGATTATACCCTACTGCCTAATAACTTCCAGTGAAAAGAACCCAGTACTTTTCAACAAAAATCCCAGGACTGAGTGATTCATTCCACTTTTTTTCATGGGGCCCATCTCTAAACCAGTCGTCTTAGTTAAAAGACTGGAATGCGCTGATTAGTAGGCTCAGATTACAGTACTCCACTTTGTAACCAGATGGGAAGGGTCAGCTTAAAATGTTGAGCAATATCAGACCTTTTGTTTTCAGGCTTGGAAACATAGCAACCACGTGGACTGAAGTTCCTTTCCCAACAGAAGAAAATGGAGGCAGCAGATGTCGGGCAGGTGGAAACCATGGTGCTCCCTGCAGCCCACTGCTCGGCTGCCTGACCATTAATCCTGTTATTTTCTTATGAGGAGTGTGATCTTAGTTGGAGCTGAGGTTCCGGGAAGGTGCCGTGTGGGTGATCTGCACAGGATCTCCTCTGTGTAGCCTTGACTCCGGCTCAGGAGCCATGTAATGTGAAAATCTGTTTATAAACCAAATAACTCAGTCCAGCAAGGGGCTCTCCCTAACAGTAACCAAACATTGAAATGACCACGGGAAGAGACTTTCATCTGCTCTCAGGGCAGGGTGGGGTGTAGGCAGACATCACCTGCACTCTTTAAATCTGCCCATCCAGTTTTAGTTTTTTGTGTGTCTTCCCATTGATGTGTTCTTGAATTTGCTAAATGAAAGTAATGCTGCTCCAAGCCCTGGCCAGGTAGTTCATTTGGTTAGAGTGTCCTCCTAATGTGCCAGGGTTGCGGGTTCGATCCTGGTCAGGGCATGTACAAGAATCAACCAATGAATGCATGAGTACGTTTCTCTCTTGCTCTTTCTCTCTCTTCCCCTTCTCCCTTTCTCTCTCTCTAAACTCAGTAAATAAAAAATTAAAGTCATTTTTTAAAAAGTAGTGCTGCTTAGTTATATGTCAAAATTATTAGCCTTTCTGGAAAAGAGAGCCCAGTAGTTATGCCCATCCGCAGGTCTAGGAACTGCAAGTTCAGCCCCCACTCACTAGACAGTGGGGGCAAGGTAATGGGGAAACCCAACAGAAAACACCTTTTGGAGAAGGAAAGTAACACAGGGGTCGCCCTCGTGGCACTTCGTGTCCTCTCGACGCAAATGCTGGCACTTGTGCACTTGTTGGAGACCTGACTGGCTTGTGGAGTCAGTGTGGCTACCTCAGATTCTACCCTCTCAAAGCCTGGGTCTTTTTGGTGTGCATTTAGAAGCTCAGTGGCTGTCTTAGTGGCTGAGACATCATAGACCTTTTGTTTTCTGGATATAGAGAGTCTCTGGCGATACAAACGCCTTTAAAATTTAGTAGATTTTTCTATCTGGTACTTAGATTTGGTGAACTCTAGAGCTCGGTGTTTAGTAACCAAAGTCACACATCATGGCTAGTCCTAGTCCTTAAAGTTCCATCTCAGTTTCTCAGCAACAGATTTCTGGAGAATTTCCCTAGCCTATCGGTTTACTGCTTCCATAGGCCATTGCCTCAGAGCAGTTTGAAACAATAACCTCAGACGGGGAGCCAAAAGTACTAATATTCCCCAGGCTGCTGGTCAGTGGTTGGTTCTCTGTCATGAAGATTTAAGGAGAGCACAGCCTTAGGACCACAGAGTTGGGGGTCCCAGATTCTCTTTCCATTTGCCTTCTGTGGACTTCCACATGGGCAGAGAATACAGCTGTCTATCGTCTTGGGTTGCATTATACAGAGAAAAAGGCCTCCATGGCAAAGCTCTTTTCTTCTCTATCTTTCGGTAGGCCAGCCTCAAACGAGGCTTGTCTCTATCAGTGATCACTTCTCAAAGGCCACAGGAAGTGGCCCCCACACCCTGCTACCCTTCAGCAGGGCTGCCAGCCCCACTGTTGCACCCTGCTCAGCTAAGCCCACATGCTGCCACCTGCAGAAACACACTTTCAGGTTCTCGACTCCCGGTGCTTTGAGCACAAAGGAGATTTTATTGACTAACTGGAAAGTCTGGGGAAGACCCGTTGTTGACCCCAGTGTTTGTATGACCTGATCCAGAGCTTTGAATGGTGGCCTCAGGCCCCTTTCTCTCCATCTCTCTACTCTGCGTTCCCCTGCAGAGCTTCATTCTCAGGTAGCTTCCAGCTTCCACATGTCAATTTTACTAGGAAGGTATACCCTCTTCTTGCCAATAGTTACAGAACAATTTCTGGAGTTTGCCTTTGTTCACCCAGCTTGGGCTGTGTGCCATCCTGACCGGTCCTTGTGCTGTGAAGGACAGGAGAATGGACCATGATGACCAGCCAGGCCTGGGCCACCTGTTTGCAGCTTAGACTTCAAGGGGTGGGGGGTAACCGGGCAAATGTCAGAGCATTTGCCCGGTGAAGAGGGAGGGAATTTTGCTGGGCCAACCAAAACAACAGGACTACACAAGGATTGGACACAACATCTGGGAGGGAGGAATGAAGTTGAGAAAACAAACTGGTGAATTGTCACTCGTAGGCCTTCAGAGTCATGTTTAGGCAATACCAAGATAATCTGTACCACTAATGCAAGCCACATGGTAAAAAAAAAAAAAAACAGGGAAAGAGGAGAAATAATAACTTTACTACTATCTTATTTATAAAGCCAACAAACATTTTAACATATCATCAATATTAAAATTATTAAGATATTTCATCCTTCTTTTGAACTGTCTTCACAATCCAGTGAGCATTTAGAACTTACAGCCCAAGTCGGTTCGGATGGGTTACGTGTGGCCAGCTGCTTACTGTAGTGAACAATACAAACTGCTGATCTCTTTCTGTAGAGAAACTGAATATTTATCATCGGCTGATAAGTTGTTACTTTCGTTTCTATTCATGGGAAGTTATTTTGAAGTTGTGAATTTCCTCACTAGAAGAACCTGCCTTAAAATGAGCTGCGACACACATTGCCATGTGGAATATCTAGTTGGTGCCGCTTCTGTCTGAGCGCCCATCAGACCAACGCAGTTACTTCTTTAATAATCCGTCTTCGCTCATGGACTCTGTGCCCTAGGTAGTTGAGGACTCCTCTATTTTCTTCCCTGTGCCCGGTGCCCAGGACATAGAAGACACTAAGTGGGTATTTTTTAAGTGAAATGCAATTAAACTTAAAAGTAAGGTGAGGGCTTCTCATTTGCCAGATCTGATGACAAAGTGGCAGGAGTAATATTAATAGTTGAAGCTGAAGATTGGGTGTTTGCACTATTTGTTACTCTGATGAATGGCCATCTGTAGTCTGTGACTAGTTGTGTTACCATTCAGTCACTTAAAGAGAGGGAGAAAGATTGAATACCTGCAGGAGCCCAGGCTCTGCGCCAAGCACTGGGTATACAAAGATAAATGGGGAACAGTCTCTGCCTGGAAGGAAATGAGAACCAGATTAGTAAAATAACTCATATCCAATAAGTGTTATGATACAAATAAACACAGTGTTTGGGGAATCACAAGGAAGAGGGCCCAGCCCGGGTCAGAGATGGAGAGAGGCAGCAAAGTTTCACTGGGGAGGAGTTCATTTCAGTGCCTTGGTGCCTGCTGTATTCTCAGTACCTAGCCCCGTGCTTGGCACATGTATTGAATCAGCGAATAAAGGAACAAAGTGGCTCCTGGACCTTATCCTAAAGGATCCTGGATTTGTCCATCTGAGTGTACACAGATGATCACTGCGGATGAAGACAGAGTTTTCACGACAGCTCGGCCCCCAGAGCCAGAACGCTGGCTGTGGGGACCTGCAAGACCTGAGTGAGGAGCGGCTCAGAGGTGTGAGAGCAGGCGTGAGCCTGCAGCACTGAGCACTAGGCAGCGGCCAGGTTCCACACAGCCTCACCTCTCGCGATTGTCCGTATGACTGGGACAAGTGATTGTACTTTCTTATTCCAGGCCAAGCGAAGGCTGGAGCTGGGAGAAAGCGGTCATCAGTACCTCTCGGATGGTTTAAAAACCCCGAAGGGCAAAGGGAGAGCTGCACTTCGAAGCCCAGACAGTCCCAAAAGTAAGGATTCTTTCATCTCTGCTTCTCTGTGGTGCGGGTTCCCAACTTTCAAAGCTTGTGGCTGGAAGGATGCCAAGGTGTGAATAATTTTAGCATGTTTTGTTCTTTTTCATTTCTTTCTCTGCCTATCCAAAAAATAAATACAGTGTCTGCAGACACCCAGCAAAAAGTTTACAGAATCACTCCAGTTCCTAAATACGGACTTAAGGAGAGGCCTCTTAAAATGTGTGCAATTTCATTTTTCAACTCAGAATACAAGCTCTTTGTCGTGTCCTACAGTGAAATCTAATTCTATCTTGAATGGACATTATTACTTCAGAGACAGAGGTTAACTGGGTGTAGGCCAACTGTGCCAGAGTCACCGATGTCTGTGTCGCCTCCATCTCCAGCTCAGCATGAGGCAGCATAAGACTTGGCGGAGACCAGTGAATTGCAGCTCGCTTCCCTTTCCACCCATACAATCAATCATCATTTCCCTTGGGAGACAGAGAAGTAGGTGGGAGATGGCTGACTAGTCCCTTACGTCTCAGGCATTTAACGTAAAGGGTAAAGTAGACTTTGTTCTCTCTCTCCTTCCCTGCAGTTTATGAATTAGGCAATCCACAGATTATGTGTCCTGCTAAATTAAACCTTTGACCTGTTACCTATCCGAGAATAGATATAGTACTAAATAAGAAATTTCATTCAAGAGGGATGGGAGATTTGATTTAAGACTCTTCCAGATTCCTGAGTCTTCATCCAAATACTGCATGATTTGAAATATTGGTGAGCAAGTTATACACATGCACACATACTGGAGCCTGAACGGCCAGTTGTGGTGGGTTTGTCTGCACCCCGTCACAAGATGCTGCAGAGGTTTGTCACCTGGCCCCATCAGGTTAGGCTCCACACGTGCGGATCCTATGGGGCTACAGCACTTTTTCATTCATTCAACAGACATTTTTGAGCACCTGCTATGTGTGAGACACTTCACTAGCCCCAGGAAATGGGGTAAGCTAAAGTAGAAACTACTGAGAAACTTATAGTGAAAGCAAATAGGAATTTGTACTGTCTCTTCCTTTTCTAATAAAGCAGTTTCACCGCTTTCTCTGTAACTTCACAAGAACAACAGCAACAACTGCTTTGCTTCCAGTACTAACACTCGGGCTGCAGTGGGAAAGCGGGCTTGCTCAACTGCAAAGAAACCCTTCATTTCTTCACCTTTCCCCCTATTCCCCACCGCTCGGTTTTTGTTTTTCTTTAAGCTCCAAAATCTCCCTCAGAAAAAACACGGTATGATACATCCCTTGGTCTCCTCACCAAGAAGTTCATTCAGCTGCTGAGCCAGTCGCCTGATGGGGTCTTGGACTTGAACAAGGCGGCAGAGGTGCTGAAAGTGCAAAAGAGAAGGATTTACGACATCACCAACGTATTGGAAGGCATCCACCTGATTAAGAAGAAGTCAAAAAACAACGTGCAATGGATGTGAGTATGAGTCGCACGCCCACCCCATGCCCTGATCAGATGGGGCCCATTCAAACATTCATACCCGCACTTGACTTCTTAACTCATACTCTTCTGTCTCCTCCTCTCTTCCTTCCCCAATTCCTTAGCCACAGGTTCAAAGTCTCTTTAGGAACAGACTTATTTCGATAGTCAGAGATAAAGGGGTTTGTATTCCCTTAACTTTGAGTGAAGGGACCCTGGGATGAATTATGTCCTGCAGATGGGAAGTGGAGTGCTGTTCACTTGTGACTATGAGGTCCCTGTGTGTGATTTCAGGGATGCTTGCACATGCCATAACTCTAATGGGAATTTGGACATTAACTATGGCTGTGTATTGACACATCTGTGTAAGTGCACAGTCACCGAATATCTCTATCCATGCTTCTCATGGCAGATTAACTCACTTTCTGAATAAATGAACAGAGTTAAATGCTTCAGTTCCTTCTAGAAAGCAGAGATGATAATGCTTATCATCTATATATCTGCATGTGTGATTAAATTTGTGAATTATGACAAACACCTGAACAGCCAGTATTTTAGAAGGAACTATTAAAGCATAGTGGAAGGAATAAAGATGTTGTGAGGGTTGGAAAAAACTACTTCAAACCTGAGAAGAGGGTGTGGCCTGTGGTCTAGGAGAAACCCGCTGGGTGTTCTCTCTTCGTGGGGATGGTGCCTGCATCTGCTTCCGTACCCTCCGTTCCCTTGTTAGTTGTTGGTGTCAGACCCTCAGAAATGACCTAGGCCTTTTGTGCTTTTTGGATGATGTTTTGGGTCATTCCATCTTTCTTTCAATTTTTCCTCTTTTCTATGTTTTCCTATCTGCTTTCTTCCCCCGGGAGGCATATGAAAGGAAGGAGCTGCCTGCCTCTTCGCCCTTCAAATTTGACCCTTCTCAATAAACAGGCCTCCACTATTGGAAAGGACCCCGAAATAGCAGGGTTTTTTCACTTAATTTCTATGGCGTGAAAAGTAAAGGACTGCATATATTAAAAAATATGTATAAGTGTTCTGATTTCAACACTTGGCAAACAAACAGTGTGACCTCCTACGTCAAGAGGCTGCGTTTACCCAAAGGATCGTGTCTCCCTGCCCTCCCTCGATTGTTCATTTCCCCCCTCCCTTCGGCCTCTCAAGTAGCCATGAAGAGTCTGTGTTTGGGTTTCTAGGGGCTGCAGTCTGTCTGAGGATGGGGGCATGCTGGCCCAGTGTCAAGGCCTGTCAAAGGAAGTGACCGAGCTCAGTCAGGAAGAGAAGAAATTAGATGAACTGATCCAAAGCTGCACCCTGGACCTCAAACTGTTAACCGAGGATTCAGAGAATCAAAGATATCCTTTGTGCCACCTGGTCATCGGTGGTTAGCATCTCCTAGATTATTTCCAGAATTGACCGTCTTCTCTGGTTTCATGCTCACGTGTGTGTGTGTGTGTGTGTGTGCGCGCGCGCATATGTCTAAATCCACTTATTTTTATACTAAAAGTCAGTGTTTGTGGAAAGATAATCACCTATTATATCTATTTTATAGCAAGGACAGACCTGCTTTTTAAGTTGTTTTATTCATGTGTGGTTGGCGCATATGGAAACACTCATAGCGTAAGGCAACACTATTATAAGATATGTGTGGTGTCAGTATTAATATTAATGACAACATTCTGCAGATTCATCTTTGGCTTTCCAGATTTTGGGTGGGTGTTAGCTGTCACTGTTGGGGTTCTCACATTCTGTTTTCTTTTCATCAGATATTGGAGCAATTGGAATTTGTTGAATCTGTCTGATTGAGCTACAGTTGAGGAAATCCAGAGAGTATAAAAAATTATTCTATAACTTTTAAAGAGCATTATGTATGCTGATTCAGAACACTAAAAACTGATTTCAGAAGCACTGCAAGGCCTGAGAAATCTCAGTCTATCCGCTCATCTACAAACACTAGCTTTTGGAAATAAAGACACAAAAAGCAAGTTCCTGCTCTCAGTAGGCTGACAGTCTGTTGACCTACTCAGGACAACCTACTATTCATCATGCCACTTCAGACAAAACAATTAGGGAGAATACTTCATCATTTTGGCAAGGAGATTTTGCAATATTCTGAGTTATTAGTTGAAAACAAAACCAATATTTTAAGTTTCCCCATCCCTAACTTCCGTTCCAAGCTTAATTATTCCACATTTACCTTTGTGAGAAAATAAAATCTGTTCTTCCCAGTTTCTTACAGTGTCTCCTCTCTAACAGGCTTTCCCTCAGAGGGTATGGAGACATTTATTTTCCAGTTCGGGCCATTTTTTGAAACTGCAGTCATTCATTTCCCATTGACCAAAAGTTTAACCTTGCCAGCTGATGATGAATGAGATGCAGAAAGAGGGGTGCCAGCGTGCAGCCCCAAGTGGTGGCCAGAGTGGGTTCACGGCAAGAAACAGGAGTAGCCCCAGATGGGCCGTTTGAGTCCTCGTTTAGTCGGGAGCCCCAGCAGGAAGATGTGCAGTCGCACGTGATTGGCAGCTGTGGTTTATGACACTGTCACCTACATTAGCTTTCTTTGGGGCCTTTATTGCAGAAAATGAAAGCTTCCTTGCAGGGGCCTGCTAACCCAAGAAGCAAATTCTGGAGGGAGCCGCAATGGAAGCACTTTTAAGATTAGAGAATATATTTGCACAACTTATTTCAGTTTGCCATTCAGTTCCGAATTTGGTACAGCTTGTTCACAAATGTGTTGAAATTTTCTTTCCTGTAGCATGTTGAGTAATTGTAGATGAGTTTTTATTTTAATGAGTTCTTGTCACATAGCTTTTGACGGTGGGCTGTGGTGTAAGTACCTGATCGGTCTCCCCAGTGTTCTCAGTAAAAATTCAGAATTGTCAGCCTTTTGTAAGGGCACCAGTTGGCTTTCTTGATGAGGTAAGTAGTGCCAGAAAACCTGGAATCCTGCTCAGCTGTCCAGTCAAGCTCAACACTGTGGGCTGTTGTCTCAATTATTGAGCCTTAAAGAAGATAGTCTTGATAAATGCCCTTAAATGTATGTGAAGATTTAGGGTGGGTGTGTTTGTTTTTCTGAGGACTAGGTTCTTAGCTTCCTTCAATTTCTAATAAAAAGCTACTATTCTAAGGGACATTATTTCCTCCAGGCTCTCTAAGTCCTATTTCTGTGTTCAATATATTAGATCACAAAGTCCATTAGCTACGTTATATTACCTGTAGAAATGCCTTCATTGAGTTGTGATTTGCTGTTTTATCATAGGCGTTTTTTGCAGGTTTATGAAAGAAAAATGTTGGCTAAAGACATTGTATACTAATTGTGTTACTTCATGTCACTTATATAAGAAAGCCATGCAGCCTGTTCTGTTTTAGCGCCAAGTAAAAGCTTATCTCTCTAGACAAGCTTGCATGGATACTTTTATCATGTAATAGTACCCATGTTCTCTCATGATGTCCTCCTAGGTTTGGCTGCCAGAGTACTGAAATATATTGTTACTCTCTTTTCAGAAAGTAGTGTTTTTCAAATTCATTCATGCAGGTTGCAGACGATCTGGAAGATGCTTTCCTTCTTGTGAACACTGAAATAGTGATAATAATATCATACAAAGGATAATTTTCTAACAGAGAAAGACTCTTACCAGTAGACAATATATGACCACAAGCAGCCTAGGTACACTTAAGAAAACCTGTTGCCTGCCTAAACAATATTGTCTTCTCCCATTAATAACTATTTGCTACTAATTCATTCATTCATTTGGGTGGCTGCTGAGACTTTCTAATAATCAGGTAGAAGATGGAAGTTATTGGAATTTCTAAAACATTACACTTAATAGAGCTTTTTCTTTTTTCCTATAAATTGAGGTCTGCCATCGTTCGATTTGAGTGACAACGCACTTCACTGGAGCTCATGGGATACTTGTGCTCCAGCAGGATCTGGTTTGAAAATCCCAAATTAGGCTTTGGTTTTCTTTTGGTAATTTATTTGAACTATTCTGTTTTCTGTGTTCATTATTTTTAAATAGCCATAGATTTTTTTTTTAATGTGCAGGAAAAAAAACTATACATTTGTTGTTTAGAATCACCCAGAAAACAAGATTCATGGATACCATAAATATAAAATAGTTCAAGAATTCTCCATGCATCTCTTTTGTTATCTCCTCATAATGGTTACATCTGAGGCAATTAGTTGGAAGATTTCCTTAACGCTCTTTACGTTAGCTTATGTTACATATCAAGATATCCGAAAAATTAGTGGCCTTAAAGACCAAACTGTCATAGTTGTGAAAGCCCCTCCAGAAACAAGACTTGAAGTGCCTGACCCATTAGAGGTAAGGAGACGACACATCTTTGTTCATCTGCAGAGATTTTTGTGGAAGACTGGAAGTTAAAGAATCGTTGATTCTTGCTTCAAGTTCATACCCTCCAAAAACTTGGAAGTTCTTTCACCATCTATTTTACTTAATCCTAGCTTTAGGAGCTTTTCACCAGTTCAGTATGATGCATTGAGTGTCCAAAAAGTCTAATTTTAATATTTACAGGGCGCTCAGCTAAAAATGGCATAAAACTCCATCCCTTCTGTACTTCCTTTTTTACATAATTTGTTGCTTCTGATCAATTTGAATTTCTAGGGAATTTTATGTTGATTGCTCTGGTTCCCACCACAAACAGATACAAATGTTTTAAAGTATCGCCCTAACTTACCACATTTAAGAATTTATCATTTATATTATGTTTACTTTTAGGGAATGAAATGGGACTTTGGGTTATTTGATAGACTAGAATATTGTACGAAAGTAAGGGCATATTATTGTGATTGATTTTAGATATTTTTTGATAATAGAACTAGACTCTAAGGTAAAGAAATGTAATAAAAAGAATATGCATAGAAAATAAAAAGAATGAAATTTGCAAGCTTCCATCTAGGTAGAGTTCACCTTAAGTGATAATAATAGCTCTGTGACCTAGATGAAGTGGAATGTTAAATATTAGTGTGCTGCATTCTCTTATTAAACTCAGTTCCAGTGGTTATTAAAGTTCAACATAAAAATGCCCTATCATAAAGGAATAGTAACATGGAAATATTGCATTTGGAATACTAAAAGGACCTTTTAATAGTTTGCAAAAGAAAAGGATATATTTGGAGAGCATTAATTCACTTCCTTTAGGGCCGGGGTCAGCGATTTTTTCTTAAGGGCTACACAGTAAATATTTTTGGCTTTGTGAATCATATGGTCTCTGCTGGGACTATCCAGCCGCACAACTGTGCCATTATAGCGTGAAAAATAAAACAGTCAGTGGCAATGCATTAGTAATGGGAATAAGCATGACTGTGTGCCAATAAAACTTTATTCATTGGGTTGGCCAAAAAGTCCATAAGGTTTTTTTCTGTAAAATAAAAAACACATTTTTCATGTTCACCAATAACTTATTAATTTGGATATTTTGAGTATGTCAGCTATCTCCCTTGTGATATAATGTGATTGTTCTCAATTAATGTCTGAATTTCATCACTATCAACTTAAACTGGTCTACCCAACGGTGGAGCATCATCCAGCAAAAATTCTCCAGCACCAGACTTTGCAAACCACTTTTGACATGTTCAATCAGTCATAGCACCTTATTCATATGCTGCACAAGTCTTTTTGTGTGTGTTTCAGTTGCATTTTCACCTTTCTTCACATAATAAAGCATAATATGCATAATATTTTTGCATAATGTGCCAAAAATGTCACTTATATTCTTTCACCTTCGATATTAAAATGGCTACACAAAAATTCACCGATTTTGATGGTTTTTTTTTTCAAAGCATGCTGATATGACAGCTGTCACAATGCAGCCTAACAAAATTGTTTCAAATACAGTTAAAAATAACTAAGCACTACTAGAGCCATCTTATAGAAAACAAACAAACGAACTTTTTGGCCAACCCAATACAAAATCATTTCGTGGACTGGGCTTGGGCTGACCTGTTCTCTAGAGGATGACAATCACTGATAAAGGTGGACTACCTATGAAAAAAGCAAAGTGACCTATGAAAATTATGCTTACCTTACGTTTTCAGATGAAAATGACTATAGCTTTTATTTTACAAAGAACTTTCGCTTTGAACTCTTGTCTTTTCTGTTCATAGAGCCTACAAATACACTTGGCAAGTACCCAAGGACCCATTGAGGTTTACTTATGTCCCGAAGAGACTGAAACACACAGTCCAGTGAAAACAACCAACCAAGACCACAATGGGAATATCCCTAAACCCACTTCCAAAGGTAAAAATTCTGTTTTTGTCATTTGGAAACTGTTTGAAATGAAGGTGACTACAAGGATCCTGTATCAGAACCACAGGTCTAAGCAGGACGCAGAATCTTCTGTTATTATTGTTATTAAGGTAACATTTTAAAAAAGGCATTCTGAGTAGTTTACAGGATAAAATAATGGTCTCGGGCTAATGACTTCCCCACCTGCTAATGGAGTCCCTCAGGCTCTTGCTATTGGCAGAAAGCATTTCCTCCCCGTGTTTGGAAAACCAGCCGAAGTAGGAGTGGAGCTGGGTGAATCATCGGCTACACTTAGCCACACACCTTTGCATGATGCCGCGGAGATCATTCGAGAGAGAAATGAAAAACGTTTGTAAAAGAAAAGCCTGTCAAAGAAGTTTTGTCTTGACTACCCCTCCCTCCCTTCGATGTGATGGGGAGAGGATGTTGGCGGAAATCCCCAGCAAAATCATTCTACTTCTTCCTTCACTGTCCCTAGAGCAAAGGGAGATATTTGTGATTTTTTTTTTTTTCAGTTTCTGATTGGGGATGTGTATTTAGTTTTTCCCCCCATCTCCCAATATAGCAACAAGAATCAATGATTTAAGTGAATAGGTCTGGTTTAATAAGGAGCAAAACACTGCAGTGGATGGCTGAAACTGGGGGTAGTGCTGAACCCTGTACAGTAGACCCTTCAACAACAACAGGGTTAGGGGCACCGGGCCCCGCCCCACAGCCAAGTCCACATATAACTTTTGACTCCCCCAAAACTTAAGTTGTCTCTCAATAACTAAAGGGGATCAGTTCTCGGACCCCTGTGGGCTGCAGCTGCTGATCGAAGACAGTACAAGTATTTATTGGGGGGAAAATCTGAGTTTAAGTGGACTCATGTTATTCAGGGGTCAACTATATAGACAGTTTTTTTCCCTAGACATACCTATGATAAAGTTTAATTTTTAAATTAGGCACAGTAAGAGATTAACTACAACAGCTATTAATAAAATAGAACAATTATAACAGTATACAGTAATAGAAGTTATGTGCCTGTGGGCTCTCTCTAAATATCCTGGACGGTACTCACCATACCTCTTGTGATAATGTGAGATGACACGGTGCCTGCGTGATAAGATAAAAAAGATGAATGACAGGCATGGTGAGGTAGCATTAGGCGGTATAGGGATCACTTGAACACACACTGCGGTACCACAACGGTCCACCGGATAACCGAGATGGTCCCGAAGTAACTAACGGGCAGGGAGTGTCTGCAGTGCCGAGATGCTGGATAAAGGGATGGTTCACATCCCGGGCAGGATGGAGCAGGACAGCGCAAGATTTCATCACCCTATTCAGAATGGTGGCACTTTAAAACTTAGGAATTGTTTATTTCTGGAATCTTCCATTTGATATTTTCGGACTGTAGTTGACTGTGGGTAATTCTGAAACCAAGGAAAGCAAAACCTCAGATGAGATGGGACTACTTTACAGCACATCAAATAGTAAAACAAAAGACTCTTTTTCCCCATAAGTATTCAAAGTGAGTATGTCTTGTTATTTGTATTTTTCAGAGGTATCTTTAATAAGTCATTGTTCAAAAAAGAGTAAGTTAAAAGCAGTGAGTTTCTACTAAGCAGCAAACTTTACAGTATGTATGCTGGGGGGGGGTCAAAAGTAGGTTTACAGTTATTTGTATGGAAATAATACAGTAATTAATAGGTAATAATACAAGAATAAATCCTGTGTTTTTAGTACTCACAACTATAACCCTCCTTTTGTTACACTATGTATATTTCCTTAAATAACGACTAACATCAGAGAGAAGTGTTTTCACCTGTTAACCTCCAACCTTTGAAGGTTTTTGCATTCTTGTTTAACAGCAGGTACTTTAAAGGATGAGTGAGTACACCAGAACAAGCAAGACTCCCTAAGGCAAACTGTGTCATGATGTTGTCTAGTTGCTATTAGCAGAGGGTGAATGCTTTTAAAGCAGCAACCTGTATATTCTGAAAGGAAAATCATTTTGATTTTCTCCTAACTTACTTTTGTGTTTTCGCCAATGTTTTCCATTCAGACTTGGCTTCAACCAACTCAGGACATAGCGATTGCTCAATTTCTATGGCAAACCTTTCTCCTCTGGCCTCCCCCACCAACCTTTTACAGCAGACTGAGGACCAAATTCCTTCCAACCTAGAAGGACCATTTGTGAACTTACTGCCTCCCCTGCTCCAAGAAGACTATCTCCTAAGTCTCGGGGAGGAAGAAGGCATCAGCGATCTCTTTGATGCTTATGATTTGGAAAAGCTCCCGCTGGTGGAAGACTTTATGTGTAGTTGATTATGCTTTGTGAACTCCCCTTATAAACCAATATTTTTTTATTATGGAACCAGAACACCTGTCATGCAGTGTTGTCCCTTCCTACCTTCTTCCTCCAAGATAGTATCATGAAGTAAACTACAAACTTCAGAACAAAGCTGACATTTTAATGATTTTTGTTTTTTAATAAATTGTCTAAACGCACAGTTGCAGGCTCCCTTGGGAAAACCCTGCTTTTCCCCAGGCTCCAAAATCTCCTGGATGAGTCAGCAAGTGAGAAAATGTGCAATCAGGTGTCTCTTGCCCATACTTTTCCTTCCTCCCACCCACCCTCCCTCCCAGATTGGCTTGCCGTGCCTGACGGATGGGCTGTAGAATGGGGTCTGGCCACCTGGCCCACTGGAATACAGCAATCTTCCTTAATAGCATTTCAAGCCGTGCCTTCTCTGCAGAATGCATGTCTTTGGGGTCTGCTAATATGGAATGGAACTGCAGGAACTGTAAACTTGAAGTCATGCAAAAGTATGAAATGAATTTCTTCAGTTCTTCTTAGGAATATTTAAATTACTTACTGTCATAATTCAGTGTAAGCTATGGACTGTGTGTCCCGCACTAGAAGGTCAAGGGAACCTCCACAGCCTTTTGGATGAAGAACCTGTTTTCAAATACTTGTTGCAGATACAGAAGAATAGTCAAGTTCTGCCACTCTAAGCTGTTGTGGATTTCCCGTCTCCATAAACCACTCCCACTCCCCTGCCCCCAACGTGTTTGTGAGTTTAAAGTTGATTTTTAGCAAATGCCTACTTAGGAGTTCTTTGTGGATCGTTTTAGAGTTTTTATTTTTTTAGCTGCCATTTAAGCATTCCTGTGGCACCCAGCACCATTTCAATTGTTTACTTTGAAGCAGTTTTTACTAATTCAAATTATTTAAGCAGAGGTAGAGAACCTCTCTGATCAGAGCATGTAAACGTGTGATCTAAGGTTTATCAGCCTCTGCAAGAAGCATTGCCCCATCTGGCTTCCTTCCCTGGAGGGGGAGCTCGGAGCGAGTTGGTCTTGGAGCTCGCTGGCTCGGGTGGCCCATTTGCAAGGAGAACCAGGTCAGATGACGTAGCAATCCCGAGGAGCAGCAGGTGCAGACCCCTCTGTCCTTGGGCTTCCCCGGGCCCTGCAACCCGGGAAAGGGCTCTCTTACACTGCACTCAGGGAGACCACTTCTCAGGATGGGGTCAGATGGAGAGGCCTCTAGGGAGAAAGACATCCCATTGTGTGAGTGGCATCCTATCAGTGGCATTTACTCAAGCTGGTGAGAGCAGGGAGCTCCCACTTTGTGGGGGGCTGCCATACCCCTGGCCAGAACCCCTGCCCCTTCCTCTATGAAGGAATAAGTTAAGTTGGACCAAGGGAAGTGCGGGCGTGGAAAATGAAGTGATAGAATGACAGGGTGTTTCCCTGGTTTACTCTTCAGGGATGGTGTCCCAAGTTGGAGGCTTCGTGTAAGCTGCAGATCCCACCAGTTATGTCCAAGATAGGCTCTCCCATTGGTCAGGGAAGATGGCCATTGCCCACCGGGAATGTGACGTAGTACCTCAAATCCATTCCTTGGATGCTAACGGGAATGAGGGAGTCTTATTAAAACGAACAGAAATTGAAATGCTGTGTGCCTGGCGCAGTGGTAGGCACATAGTAGGCACTCGATTCACATGTGTAATGGAACTGAGAATATCCCTTAGGAAAGATACAAAACACAAAACCACAAACTCTAGATAGATTTCCACAATATGCAAAGTGGTGGTGGGGTCAAAACCATGACACCAGCACTTTAAATAATTTGTGTAGGTATGTATGAGTGTGTGTTTGGGAAGAAAAACAAAGGTGCAGATTACCCTTCTTTTCTTCTGCCTCCATCCTTAGCCTCCTCCCCTCACACACACTGGACTTGGTACAAATATCATGTGGTCCGAGATGAAGCATTGGGGTGGGGGGGGGGAGGGAGGGAGAGCTTTGTGTCAAGTGCCTACTGGAAATGCACTGTGGGGTTTTTTCCTGTATGGGAAACCATTTATGCCAAGCTTTTCCCCGTTTCCCATATTTATCTCATCTGGTTAGCTGCCTCTGCTTCCAGCTTTGTGTGATTCTCTGCCAGCTGCACGGAGCTGACTTTTCCCCAAAGTCTGAAGACTGAGCTCGCCTGGCTAGGTTGTTCTGTGTTTTGTTGAATTTCTCGTTAAACCTTTCATAATGTAATGCCGTATTTATTTTTTTTAATGAAAGGAATACTAATAAGTCTTAAAAGTTCCTTCACGCATAAGATATCTCCAGTTAATGGGCTTAACTGGTGCACATTAATTAATTAAATGTCCATGCTGTATTCTGTTTGTGTCAGTCCTTTTCTTTTTGAGACAGTATCCGGCACACAAAGTGGGTTAGTTGTCCAGTATTAGTGTTAACTTTAAGTCAAAAAGTATGCCGGTTTCCTGGTACCATTGAGTTGCTGCTATTAAAGCTCACACATGAAATGGCTAATATAAAAGTTACAAGTGTGCGAATTATGACTGTGTGAGCCTTAGAAAATAAACTGTATAAAGGGCAACACATGAGCTGTCAAACAGTGTTAAGGTATGTGTTTATATGTACAGACTTGTGCATAGCAATGGTTCTATTTAAGTTGGTATGTAGTCTACTCACATTTTCATTATCTAGCAATTTTGTACAGAGATAGCAATTAATTTGTAAACACTGCCAGAATATTTTCTAGCTGGTTTGTAATTTTTTAAGAGTGTTATATTTTGGGTTTTGTTGTGGTTCTTGTTTCATTTTTGTTTTGAGTGTAGATCTGTAAATAAAATGGCAGTATTTAAAGCTTTAGCTTTCAGGAAAAAGAAGGAAGAACTCGGCGTGTGCATGACAACTCGTGTGTGTGTGAGAGCAGGGGTTTGAGGGAAGACGCCTTGAGGGGTGAGTCGGGTGGCAATTGTCTGATTGTGGGAATTGCTTTTCCTCTGGGGTACAAGATTTTGTCAAAAGGAAGTATTTCTCCCCAAATTGGGAGAAGGCAAACTACTAATCAGTTTAGCTTTGTGTCGTATGCTAGTTGGAAAAAGAAAATGTGTAATATAATGTAAAAAAAAAAAGCTTTTATGATGGATTTTGTAAATAGATTTGTTACAGGGTAACCTGTTCTCTAGCTGTGATCTTACCACTTCAAATGGGTGTAATTTGAATAAATTTTGTATGGTAAAGGATCAATAAAATGATTTTTTTTAAGAGTTCAGACTTGTGAATGGATTTTCTTACTGCAGTCTTCTGCTCCTGTATTAATTTCATGCTTAAAGACCTGCTGTAACAAGTTAAGGAGAAAGTTTGAACACAAGCTTAAAACACTGTATGCCCTGCCTCCCACTTGGGACACTTCAGGAACATGGAACAAGCATTTGCGGAGCCCTGGTGGCGGCCCCACGGCCCCACTTTGGGAAGAGCGGGCACTTGCCGCGTCTCTGACCCCTGCGGAGACCGCTCTGGCACTGAGGGCTTTCACCCTGAGATAGTGACAAGTCCAGTTTTGTTCCCCATCAGGAGTATGAAGCCAATAAAGTTTCTTTCTCAATTCTGGTAATTACTTCCCTTGTTATTCTGTATTTCTTGTAATGCCATATTAGGGCTTTTTTGCCTGCCTCGTCACACTCTTAACTCTAAGCTCATCTAAAAACTTCAATGTATACAAAAAAGTAAGCCATTCCCTGCCCTTCCCACTCTGGTCACCCCAGAGGTAACCACTGTTTTCATTTTTATTCACGATCCCATTGTTCACTGCACTTATATAAAAACGTATATGCCTGGATGTGTATATTTTAACAAAGCATACCAAAAATACACCTCTCTAGGTCTTTTTTTTAACTAACTACATCTTACACATCTTTCTTTCCTTGAGTACTTATAGATCATGTTCATTCTCCAAAGGCTGCATAACATTCCAGTAATTAAAAATATATTTAATAATTTATTAACCTAGGTGATTTCGTATTTGAGTGATTTTTGTTTGTTTTGCTATAAAGTAATATATAGCATTGAATGCTTATATTATGCCAGGTACTGTTTATATTCTGCCAGGTAAAACACCATTAATGACAACATCGCCCATTAAAGATGTTTAATTAATTCACAGGGTTGTGTAAGATCACTACAATTTTACAACATTTTCTGACCCCCAAGAGGAAACCCCATACCCAATGAGCAGTTATTCCCCATCTCCTATTTCCAGCCCCTGGCAACCACTAGTCTGCTTTCTGACCCTGTGGATTTGTCTAGTCTGGATACTTCCTGTAGATGGAATCATCCAATATGTGACCTTTTGCATCTGTCTGTTTTTACTTAGCATAATGTCCTCAAGGTTCATCCAAGTTATAGCATGTGTCAGTATTTCATCCCTTTCTATATCCAATAATATTCCCTTGTATGTTTTTTTTGTTTATCCATTAATAGATAAAATTTGTTTATACATTTTTGTTTATCCATTAATCAGTTGTTGAATATTAGGGTTGTTTTCACCTTTTGGCTACAGGAACTCTAGGTACTATTGTAAGTGCTTTATTGAGCACTCTTGTCAAAGCATACATCTCTTGCTAATTTGTTATCTCCTCTTCCAATAAGTATTGTGCCCCCAGTGCTTAGGATGCATCCTGGCACATAACACCTATACATATTTGAATGAATTATTCCCATTTTGTAGACAGAGTTTGAGGCTGAAGAATTTTCTTCTAAAAACAACCCAAGGCAACAGTGATAGAATGAACTTCAAGCCTTTTCACCTGTGCTGTCATCTTCCACATTTTGTACCTTGTCCTGAAATTATTATTATTTTTGCATTTCTGCGTTCATCCTTAGTTCTGTCTAGAGTCCCATGAATCCCAGAGTTGGATGACCTGATTTTGTCATCCAACATAGCTACTATCTGTATACCCAATACCCAATGCAAGAATACCTGTGTCTTTGGCCAGCAGTTATTCTATAGTTAAACCAGTGATAAAATCTGAACAAAATGATACTAAGATGTATTCCTTCTCGCATTTAGACTACTGAAGGCAAGAGGTGGTCAGAGCTAACAAAAAAAAACAAGAATTACCCACATACAAAAAGAGTGGAAAATGTAGACAAGATAAATGTGAATCAATCATATAGGGCTGCATCCTTTAAAAACATGCACGTATGACTAGGATGTGTAAATATTTTATGATTCAGAACCTGAGTATTTTTTCATAAGTGGCCTTCTTCTATTCTGGGAATAATTTAGAAATTGGTCTCAATAATATTAAGAGAGAAAATGAAGCCATTGTAGAAAAATTAATTGTGTTCACTCACACAGTGTCCATTAAGAGAAACTGATGTTCTTTTATTCATTCTACTCTTGAACAAGCCTAAAGTGATTATGCCAGGACTGCTTGAAGTGTTGGGGTCCAAAGAGGAAAAGTCACAATCCTGACAGCAAGAGGAAGCTTACAGTTTGAGGGGGAAACAAGTTTTAGCTAGAAGGAGCAAATACTGAGGGCCAGATAGTGAAAAAGTATTTTTTTCTTACTGAAGCCATGTTTGAAGACTTGGAAAGACAGATGGTTAGATGCAGAAGTGGAGATGAAAGGAGGATGAAGCCTTTACAAAGCAGGAGAGATTCTCATCCGAGTGGGTCAGGGACCTGTACATCTGGATGCAAAGTGCTTGCAGAAGGCTGCTGAGTAGGCACAACGCAGACGTAAATCAACAGATGCATTTCCTAGAACCTAGGGAGCTGGGGAGCCTCACTCTACGTCTAGACTACAACCTGATTTCATGAAGGAAAATGACAAGAGTAAATGATCATGCACTGAGGTATTGCTGAGAATTTCTGCACTGGCTACTTAGAATTTATCAGCCAGGAGTCGATCAGAAGTTAAAAGAAGTAACATTCATAGCAGGAAGTTGAATGCAAAAAGCAAGCTTTCCATTGTGCCCTTAAATCTGGGACTTAACTGAAAAGACAAATAGAACAATGTATTATAATATTCTCTAATACTTATAGTACTAGAAATTAATATGCTTTTTTGTGTGTGAAGAGTATTATCAAAAAGTTCTGGAGTTGTGTATGCTGCAGTGTCTGGGAAGTGCTGTGGGGCACAGAGGGACAAAGTTCTGTGTTATCAGGGATGTGCCTCGGAAGCAACTTGGAATTCCAGCAATGCTTCCACTGGGACGTGTTGGGACTTGGGCCTTTACCATGGGGCAGAGCAGATGATTCCCAGAGGAAAGGGAAGACGTGTGCATCCTCTCTTTTCTGTATCAACCTCAGTGGCTGACTGCACACAAGTCAGGAACACAGAAACATGAGATTAAAACCCCAGGAATTAAGATAAACAAATAAACAAAAACATTAACAAAGGCCTAGTTTTTCAACTCAGCCAAAGCCTTGTCAACTGGCAATGATCATAGAATCACTGAATTCAAGTTGGTAGGTAACCAACCTTATACCCAACAAGAAGCTGGTTTCATCATGTGACAATCGGTTATCAATTTTTTTTTCAAAGAAAAGTCTCCAGAATCCTAGTCCAACACTCTTTCTACTGTATCCATAAGGTCTCTTAGCTCCCTGCTCAAATTCACTCATCAGAAAACTGCCTCTTCCCAGTCTCCACCCTGGAACCATACATAGCCGGTCCATTCATCACTTCGAATTAGCATGAGACTCTGGAAGAAGAGCCCTGTCGTGTTGTCCGCTATAGCACTGTAGTTCTTCCCACTCCTCCTACCACATTCCATGGTGCGAGCCACCATTATCCTCTCTCTGTGCCTACGCTGGGCACAAGTTGGGAGAGATGGAAGCTGTGGGAAGTGTATGTTTGGAGAAGTTCTCAGTGATTCTTTGTCCTCGGTCTTTGACGAAAATAAATGCACTCTATTTAAATAGAGGATGAATCAAATTGGCTGCAGCTCCTAATAGGATATTCTGTTTCCCCTATAAGACTCAGGCTTCTCTTCCTAATACAGACCACTTTTCAGCTTTGGACGCCCTTAAAAAACTGTATCTCACCTCTGACTAGTCCTTAGCATTGTACAGAGCTTTACAGTTTACATAGTATTTTCATATCCCTTGTTTCTTCACCTAAAACTTTTTGTAATTGATGGCAACAGCTGCAGAAGTAACTAATCAATCTACAAGTGACAGAACAGTGTGTGGGCAGTGATGTAAACAGAGGAAGAAAACCAGTTAGCATCAGACCACACTCCGGAGACCCAAGGAGCAATTCCATAGAAGAGAACTGAAATAACATAAGTAAATAAAAATTAAATCATATCAACAAAAAGAGCTTGTTTAAATGGGTTAGGGATAGGAATAGAATGTGTGTGCTTAGAGATGGGAGGAGAGAGAAGGAGATCCAACATGCTCAAAAAGAGCCACAAGCTAAATTCTGTCATTGGCAAGAAACCAAAGAATGGGTGTTTCTTTAGTTAAAGAGGAAGTGCCATCATCACTGACTCAGAGTTTGGGTGTATATTAAGGGAATAAAATGGATGGATGCTAAAGGCAAGAACAGGCATAGGAGTGTAATGAAGGAAAGGAGTAGGTAGAACTTCTGCAATCTTTTTCAGAAAATAGAAACAGAGGGAATACTTCCCAAACCATTCAATGAGGCCAGCATTACCCTAATATCAAAACCAGGCAAAGCTATTATATAAATGGAAAACCAGAGACTAATATCTCTCAAGAACATAGATGCAAAAAGCTCAACAAAATATTAGCAAATCAAATCCACTAAAATATGAAAAGAACTATATACTGCAGCTAAGTGGGATTTATTCTAGTATGCAAGCCTGGTTCAACATTTGCAAATGAATTAATGCTATCCATAACATCAAGTTAAAGGAGAGAAATCACATCAGTAAATGCTGAAAGAACATTTCACAAAATACCTCTTCATGATAAAAACTCTCAGAAAACTAAAAATAAAGCAGAACTTCCTCAAATAGATAAAGAGCACCTACAAAAACCCTACAGCTAATATCATACTTAATGATGAGAAACTAGATGCTTCCCCCCTAAAACTAGAACCAAGGCAAGGGTATCCCTCTCACCGCCTTCATTTAACAACATACTGAAAGTCCTGGGTAACACAAGAAGACAAGAAAAGTAAATAAAAGGCGAAGTGATTGTTAAGGGAGAAGTAAGACTGTCCTTTGTAGGTGACATGATTGTTTATGTAGAAAATTCCAAAAAATCTACAAAACACTTTCTAGAACTAATAAGTG